ACATCAACTGAATCTTACATAAACCTGAAAAGAGTCCTCATATTTACATAATCAACACTATCAGAGGTTGTCACACCTGTATCACATTAGGTGTAAATATTCATCAGACATCTTAAAAAAACCTGAAATAACAAGCTGAATATTACTGTACATCAATATATTATCCACATGGACTCGGACTGTCCGTCATTTAGACCATTGCAAGACATAGGTGTGCTAATTATATATATGTTCAAGTAAACCCTTGAAAGACATATACATGTATAAAAATAAGAAGCTGTGGTATGATTGCCATTGAGACAACTCTCCACCAGAGACCAAACGATGTAGAAGTTAACAACTATAGGTCACTGTACAGCTTACAACAATGTGCAAAATCCATAGGCATAGTCAGCTAGAAAAAGCTCCAAAATCACAAATGTAAAACCGTTCAAACTAGAAAACTAACGGCCTGATTTATGCACAAACAATAAACAAAAAAAAAACAAATATGATATACAGCAACAAATGACAACCACTGAATTCCAGGCTCCTGACTTGGGACAGACACATACAGTTTGCTTATATATAAAAACCTTTGAAAGACATAGGTATGCTTAGATCATTAACAAAACCTTAGTAAGATGACGGTATGCTTAGATCATTAACAAAACCTTAGTAAGATGTAGGTATGCTTAGATCATTAACAAAACCTTAGTAAGATGTAGGTATGCTTAGATCATTACCAAAACCTTAGTAAGATGTAGGTATGCTTAGATCATTAACAAAACCTTAGTAAGATGTAGGTATGCTTAGATCATTAACAAAACCTTAGTAAGATGTAGGTATGCTTAGATCATTAACAAAACCTTAGTAAGATGTAGGTGTGCTTAGATCATTAACAAAACCTTAGTAAGATGTGGAGGTATGCTTAGATCATTAACAAAACCTTAGTAAGACATAGGTATGCTTAGATCATTAACAAAACCTTAGTAAGATGTAGGTATGCTTAGATCATTAACAAAACCTTAGTAAGATGTAGGTATGCTTAGATCATTAACAAAACCTTAGTAAGACATAGGTATGCTTAGATCATTAACAAAACCTTAGTAAGATGAAGGTATTCATATCTTTGACTGTTTTTAGCCTAATATTTTTAAAGAAGTTTAACGGGTTAGACAAGTCATATTTTGTCTGGAGGTCTGGAGATTTTGTCTGACATGTGTCAGTTGTCCTTGACCTTATTTACATGGCTTGGTGATATACATAAGTGAAATTCTTCATTCTGTTACTTTGTAATTAACAAAGTCAAGTATATTGGATCTCAATACAATCAATCTAAGGTAAACATATCAATCTGATGGAAAAAAGAGGGTACCAAGGGGGGAAACATACACCATAAGTCATATACAAAAAGACAACATCACGACAAAATAGAAAATCAATAAAAAGACAACAACAAAAAAATCATAGAAAACTAAAGATCGACCAAAATGAATCAACCCTATCAAAAATCAGGGGTGTAGTAGGGTGCTCCTGAAGGGGCACCCCCTCATGTTACTTGTTGCAAGAAAAACGTGGTGTTTATTCCATGTCAGTAATGTCACATTTGAGGAAAAGAATATAGATTGTGTCTACAACAGGTGAAACTTGTCAGTGGTCATCTGTGACACAAATATAGAAGTCACCTGATCTTGACCTCTTTTCATGGTTTATTAATAAATGTTTCAACTATATTTAACCTATAGACATAATATGGCCATCATTTTTATGTTTCATTTGTCAAAGTTGATTTTCCATGATAAATGAAGTTAGAAATAAAATACAAGAGTTTCCACATATTATTCAGCCATCATTACCCAGGGGGACATTAAACTCTGTACATCCACTGTCATTAACTGACTATACAGAAGATACACAGTGAGATTGGTATCAAACAACTGAATTAATGCAATTACATCTTATTCTTTAGATCTAATATAAATCTGCTATAATAATAACTCACTCTACCATTAATGTATTTAATAGTATTATTAGATTACCATTATTCAATTATGTAAACTAAAAAATTTTAGTTTTGGATAGATATTTGAACACCCACATGTTCATCTGAATTTATTACTTTGTAAATTATTTGCATATTTGGTGTCTGTAATCATGGCTGTGGAAATATCAAAATTCGTCACTTGTCCATGGACAAGTACTATACAAAAATAGTTGCCCAGAAATTGTTATGACTTGTCCCTACTGGTTGTGCTATAACAGAAATTACTTGTCCTAGAACATACACTGTGTTAATTTGTCCGGGAGAGATTTTCAGACAAGCAAGACAAGATTGGCATGGTATTTCCACATTCCTGAAAGTTCCCTCTTGTTATGGGAAAGGATGCTTGTAGTCTTTGCCTGTTATCCGACTCTCATTGATAATTATTATCAATAAAATATTTGAAATCAAGATTTTATTCTTGGAAATATTACACTTGAATATCACTAACCATCTTTTATGCACATATTCTCTCCTGTGTTAACCTAAGGCACCAATTTTTGTGGATGTCTTGGGTATGTGTGAACCACGAATTAGGTGTTAAAGGAAGTACAAATTTCATATTGGCTTGTACACAGACTTTGACAAAACCACAAAATCAAGTATCCTAGAAAATAAAATTTTTCCTCAATCCGCAAAAATTGATACCAACAAAAATAAATGATTCCAAAGCAATTGAAAAAAAACAGCACATCAGAGGTCTTGTGGTGGTATGGTTGCCTCATGTGCAGGAGTTTTTATTCAGAGGTCTTGTGGTGGCATGGTTGCCTCATGTGCAGGAGCATTTATTCAGAGGTCTTGTGGTGGCATGGTTGCCTCATGTGCAGAAGTTTTTATTCAGAGGTCTTGTGGTGGCATGGTTGCCTCATGTGCAGGATTTTTTAATCAGAGGTCTTGTGAAAGCATGGTTACCTCTAGCTGCAGAACAGTAGATCTTATGGCTATGGTTCAGCAGCTAGGTCCCCTCAAAAGCAAGAGTTTTCTTGTTTTAACCCTTGTCAGTCAAACAATTAATTAGTCAATACTAATCATCTACTAACAGGATTATAACTTCACAGCAAAGAAAAATTATCTCTTTTCATACATATCAGTTCAACATGATCAATAAAATTTATGTTTTATTGACCTAATACCAATCATGTATGACCTCAAATATTGGGTTCATATATTCGACATTTTTTTTGTATTCTTCAATGACATTCTTTCATTATGAGTCCTTCCAAAAAAAATTGTCATTAAAATGATCTATCAACTGTATCAAAAAGAAACGTCATGACAGTGCAAGCTAGTTCTGGGGACATTAAATATAATATTTCATTTTAATAAGACTCATCTATCTTTGTATTTTTATAGGTGTCTATAAAAGTAAAACTACCACAAAAGTCTAACACATCCATAACAGATCAGGTCATTGATCTTATATGTATCGTCATTTTCAAAATACATTGCACTTTTTGCACTTAAAATTATTTCACTTTCATAACTATCACAAAATGAATTTGAAACTCAAATTTTATTTTATTCTTTTTGTATATACTGTATAAAACTTTCTCTTGTTCAATTAAAACCACAGATTTAACAAAGGATAGTTTTATCCTAGTAATAGTAGTTATAAATGAGTGTTTTCAGAATCAAAGGAAAAGTAAGTAATTTTTTCTGTCAATGTTTGACATCTGTTATGAGTTTTATTGAATACCTGTATCAAAAAGTCAATTGATCTGTAACTCTTAAACGTCAAATTTTGTCAATTATACTACATTTAGCATTGAACATTATTTAATTCAAATAAGTCACTGTTTACTTTAAAAGTAAGTCCTTGTTTTTAAACCAGAAAGAGTAAGTTTACAAAGGGTTAAAATTGGCACCTAAATTTCTAATGCTTAAATAAAACAGGTCAACATACTACAAATGTTACATAAACATAGTTGTGGTGTTACTATTAATACAAAAAAACTTCTGTTTGGCGCATCACCTTTTAAATTACAAAGTTATGACCCCTTATTTATGCATATGTATTGTGTAACTTCAGTTTTGGTCTAGTTTCTCATAATTTATGAGTTTTAAAGATAATATACTTTTGACCAATTGTACCATTCAAGAACTTAATTGTGGCCTTTGTGATATTTTATAATCAAGTTGAAATACAAGGCCATTTTTGCCAAAAGTGAACTTTGACTTATATATCAATGAGGTTATAAGATATATTCTCTAGCGATATGACATCAAATGGTAAATTCTCTGAACTTGAAATCAGCACATAGATTCAGTTAATAAGTAGGCAATCTTTCTCATGAATACATTATTCATTTAAATTTGGAATTGTAATGGTACTTGAAAGCATCTATAACAATATGCTTTATTGTTTTTTGTTGAATAGACAATGCAATTTAAGGCAATGGACAAAAAATGTCCCCACGGCAATCATATTTAGAAGTGATTTTAATTCAAAGAAGAAGACACATGTGCCTTGTATTTTACTTCAACAACTCAAACTGATTCTCCGTTGTACAAAGGGAGATAACTCAAATTTAACTTCAGCTTATTTTTCACTATTGTACAAGAGGAGATAACTCATTCTTTCTCAAGAAAACTAAAAATCATGTAACCATGAATTTTCTTTTTCTTGATACTTCTGCCTTTAGCTTCTGTGATAAAAGCAAGTAACCCTATAAATAACATGTATGTATAATATATATGATACAAATATATAACAAATGTTGAAAGTTCAATCATTTATCATATGGTGAAAACAAAATAATTTATATTTCTTGTTTATTTCACTTGAGAAACAAGGTAGGTATGAATTGTATAAATATTTAATGATGCTGATGTTGTTCCATTTTTCTTCCTGTAAATTTTGCACTTCTTTGATTAATTACTAGGAATTAACCTCAATTAATCCTTCACATTATTTAATCAATCTTTCATTTTCAGATTTCTAATTACCAAAATAATTGCATGCTAAAAAAGTTCCTACCTCTAACAGGAATGGCAGGACTGGTATAAATGTGTTGGTAGATTCTGATAAGGTGTTCATCATCTTTATACAGTGGAAACGTAGAGGAAAATATCTTGTTGTAGGTGTTAGTCTGAAGATAAATTTAATAAATTAAGATAAAAAATAAGGAGATGTGGTATGATGGCCAATGAGACAACTATGTATGATTGCCAATGAGACAACTATCCACCAGAGTACAAATGACGTGGTTATAAACAATTTTAAGTCACAGTACAGCCTTCAACAATGATAATAACCCATATTGTATAGTCATATATTCAAACAAGAAAACAAACTTAATATGACAGATATGATCCAACCATGTTTATGATGTCTATATTAATATCTTTTTTGGATCACTCTACCTTAATATGTATCATATGTATACCCCACAAGGGCTCTGAGGAGGGGCACTGAATTGGAAATTAAACTATTCAGTGTTAAATGAATAAAAGGAAATGAAACAGAAAACTAACTACAAACATACCCAAAAGACTTCCATAGGTCAAGAGACTTGATACAGTCAGATATCTATACAATATGCCAAGCTCTAAATTGTCTGGAGTCATGAATAAATTGATTGATTGATTGATTGATTGATTGATTCATTGTGTTAGTTCTACTTTCAGTACTCGAAGCTATATCGTGGTGGCCAGTTTTTATTGGTGCAGGAAAGTGGAGTGGTCAGAAAGAACAACAACCCTCGACAGGAAAACCGGCAATCCTAGTCAATTGAGATCAGAGTTTAATGCATGTGCCACATGTGAGGTTCAAACTCACAACCACAGGGTTGACAGGATATTGATTTTGTAGGCGAACTACTTGGATCACTCAGCCACTGACGCCCCTGACTTAGGCTGTTTGGTCTTTCAAATAGTCTAAAGGTAGACAATATGTTTTTTTATCCTGCTGTATTTACACATTATACTTACTTAATGGTTCCTATAATTGTTTGTGTTAATGGGTAGATCAAGGGTTGTAGAACGTCACTGGGATAGGTGGCACTCATCAATCGTACCCACAATGCCAGACAATGAATGTACTGCCAGTTATAAACTGCCTGGACATTTTCCTGTAATATAATTTTAGCATATTTATATTTACATTCATTGCCAGTGCTATAAAAATAAGAAGATGTGGTATGATTGCCAATGAGACAACTCTCCACAAGAGACCAAATGACACAGAAATTAACAACTATAAGACACTGTACGGCCTTCACCAATGAGCAAAGCCCATACCGCATAGTCAGTGTCTTTTATATAACACTTTTGTTTTTGTTTTTCTTGAAGGTACTGTGGATTCATTCATTTTTTTCTCTTACTTTTTTTTATTTGATTTTGTCATTTTACAAAAGTCGGCATACAATCCTATAGAAAATTTGTTTTTCTTTGAACATTAAATTTGTGGTTCACCTGTACCCATGAAATCCACAAAAAAATGGTATCCTACGAATAATCATGCATCTACAGTATGTAATAAGACATTAAATGGTATCATCTCATGGCTTCCTGTTTTAATGATGGTAGCCAAGTACCAAGTATCTACATTTAACAATATTAAACACATAGAAAAAATCTGCTTAAAATACTTAATTCTACTTTTTTACTTAATTTTAAGAAAATTATATACAAATAGAAGACTTCAACAGCCCTTACACATACCACATTTAGCTATAAAAAAAGGTCAAATATTCTGCTTATTTATAATTCATATTTATTATATCAATTTCCTTGAAAATATCTCAAAGAACTCACAGACAAATATTTTGAATATTTAAAACAATACAATACAAATTAATTATATCATGACTACTTTCATCTAAGTCACAGCAATGAGTTTCACAAAAAATCTTACAACTAAAATTGATAGTAAGTATACTGAATTGTGTAAGACTTACGATCAATTTTAGTCGTGCATTTTTTGTGAAACTCATTCCTGTTCACTGTTGATTTGTGGAAATTATTTTCAAAAGATCTGACGCCATATGCCAATAAAAGACTTTCAAACAAAGTAGTCTGAAAAAGGCAATTTTCAAATGTTTTGTTTTTTACAGTTTATAGGTAAGTAATATTAATAAAACCAATGAAACAAACCTTCTTCTTGACAGTTATAGCATTACGTAAGTGTATGGCTAACTGTCTGATGTAGATAAAGGCATACTGGTATCCTAATACTGTATCTATAGTCAAGATCTCCACCAGGGAGCGCTGCATAAAGTTGATCAATGGAAGTGTTGTGGGTGATGTAAATTTACAGTTCTTTACATATGCTATGTACATTTGCTGAAAAATAAATGAGTTTTATAAAATATTCAATATATGTAAAAAAAAAAAAAAAAAACATTCTATTTTCTTTGTTTCAGCCTTATTTTCCACTTCTTAATTGTAAAGACATTGTCAAGCTCATGTTTTGCAATAGAAAAACTAAACAAACTTTCAAATAAAAAACTAGGCAATCCACTTTCATATTAATTTGTTGAATAATCTCTATCACTTTTTTTTTTGGTTTGATTATTGGGATACAGTGACCTACTTTAATGTCTATTGACCTACCTTTATACACGGTTCTAACATAGATTCCTGGGATATCATGACTTGTCTGTTGATACAAAGGAAAGCTACCACTCTTGTTGTCTCTTCAGCAGAACTCCATAGGTTGGTCATTTTCTGAAATTAAATAAAATGCTTCGCTGGGCGCAGCTTGATACGACCGCAGAGGTCGAACCCTGAACAGTTGGGGCAAGTATGGACACAACATTCAAGCTTGATACAGCTCTGAATTTGGATTGTGATTAAATATTTGACACAGCATAGGTTTCTGACACAGAAAGAATGTGGTCTAAGAACTTCAATTTTTTTAATTTACCTATTATGGTCCAATGTCCAAAATCAAAATACATGGTTAGATTCAGCATATCAAAGAACCCCATATATTCAATTTTTGTTGAAATCAAACAAAGTTTAATTTTGGACCCCAACTTGGACAAACTTGAAAACTGGTCCCATAATCAAAAATCTAAACACATGTTTAGATTCAGCATATCAAAGTACCCGAAGAATTCAATTTTTGTTAAAATCAAACTAAGTTTAATTTTGGACCCTTTGGACCTTAATGTAGACAAATTTAAAAAACGGGACCCAAAATTAAAAATCTAAAAACACGGTTAGATTTGGCATATCAAAGAACCCCAATAATTAAATTTTTGATGAAATCAAACAAAGTTTAATTTTGGACCCTTTTGACCTCAATATCAACCAATTTGATAGCGGGCCCACAAATAAAAAATCTAAATACATGGTAAGATTCAGCATATTAAAGAACCCCATATATTCAATTTTTGTTGAAATCAAACAAAGTTTAATTTTGGACCCCAATTTGGACCAACTTGAAAACTGGGCCAAAAATCTAAATACATGTTTAGATTCAGCATATAAAAGAACCCCATATATTCAATTTTTGTTGAAATCAAACAAAGTTTAATTTTGGACCCCAACTTGGACCAACTTGAAAACTGGTCCCATAATCAAAAATCTAAACACATGTTTAGATTCAGCATATCAAAGAACCTCAAAAATTCAATTTTTGTTAAAATCAAACTAAGTTTAATTTTGGACCCTTTGGACCTTAATATAGACCAATTTAAAAAAACAGGACCCAAAATTAAAAATCTAAATACACGGTTAGATTTGGCATATCAAAGAACCCAAATAATTCAATTTTTGATGAAATCAAATAAAGTTTAATTTTGGACCCTTTTGACCTCAATATGAACCAATTTGATAGCGGGCCCACAAATAAAAAATCTAAATACATGGTAAGATTCAGCATATCAAAGAACCCCATATATTCAATTTTTGTTGAAATCAAACAAAGTTTAATTTTGGACCCCAATTTGGACCAACTTGAAAACTGGGCCAAAAATCTAAAATCTAAATACATGTTTAGATTCAGCATATCAAAGAACCCCATATATTCAATTTTTGTTGAAATCAAACAAAGTTTAATTTTGGACCCAACTTGGACCAACTTGAAAACTGGGCCCATAATCAAAAATCTAAACACATGTTTAGATTCAGCATATCAAAGAACCCCAAGAATTCAATTTTTGTTAAAATCAAACTAAGTTTAATTTTGGACCCTTTGGACCTTAATGTAGACCAATTTAAAAAATGGGACCCAAAATTAAAAATCTAAATACACGGTTAGATTCGGCATATCAAAGAACCCCAATAATTCAATTTTTGATGAAATCAAACAAAGTTAAATTTTGGACCCTTTGGACCTCAATGTGGACCAATTTAAAAACGGGGCCCAAAATCCAAAAACTTAATACACGGTTAGATTCAGCATATTAAAGAACCCCAAGAATTCAAGAATAAAACCCCATTGAAATTGATCAAGAAATAAGCAATTTATACGAAGTATCTTCTTTTGCACAATACTGTGCAATTGAATATTTCTTGCTATTGCGCAATACTGTACAATTGACAATTTCTTGCTATTGCGCAATATTGTGCTATTGGATATTTCTTGCTATTGCGCAATACTGTGCAATTGAAGATTTCTTGCTATTGCGCAATACTGTGCAATTGAAGATTTCTTGCTATTGTGCAATACTGTGCAATTGAAAATTTCTTGCTATTGCACAATACTTATTATATAATAATTTACACATCCTGTTTGGTGTGTATCTCCTACCATATCATTATTATTTGCTTTTAAATATAAATCAGAAATAACCAACTTAAAATGGAAAATTTTAAAAGAAAAAAAAAAGGAAAAAAAGAAAAAAAAAAAAAAAAAAAATCCCCCCCCCCAAATTTTTTGAACCCCCTTATGATTCATCACCCCCAAACTCAATCCCAGCCTTCCCTTTGTGGTATGGTACCTTGCAGTACAATTTCAGAGAGATCCATACACCTGAACACAAGTTATTGTCTGGAAACTAGAAAAATGCTTATTTTTGGCCCCTTTTTGGCCCCCAATTCCTAAACGTTTCGGGCAATTACCCCCAAACTCAATTCCAGCCTTCCCTTTGTGATATGGAACCTTGTAGTACAATTTCAGAAATATCCAAACACTTACACACAAGTTATTGTCATGAAACTAGAAAAATGCTTGTTTTTTGCCCCTTTTTTGGCCCCTAATTCCTAAAATTTTGAGGCAATTACCCCCAAAATCAATTACAGCCTTCCCTTTGTGATATGGAACCTTGTGGTACAATGTCAGAGAGATCCATACACTTACACACAAGTTATTGTCTGAAAGTTACAAAAATGCTTATTTTTGGCCCCTTTTTGGCCCCTAATTCCTTAACTGTTGGTACCATAACCCCCAAAATCAATCCCAACCTTCCTTTCGTGGTATTGAACCTTATGGTGAAATTTCATGGAGATCCATTCACTTAAACTAAAGTTAGAGTGCGAAAACCAATGTGTCTTCGGACGACGCCGGACGACGACGACGACGACGACGACGCCAACGTCATACCAATATACGACCAAAAAATTTTTAATTTTTGCGGTCGTATAAAAATACATACTTGGAATTAAGTACGAAGTGAATAATCAGAACCCTTAAAAAACATCCACTCTCTAATTTGTCCAAAAAGTTATTGAAAAGTAAAATAACAAAAATACTGAATTCCAAGGGAAATTCAAAATGGAAAGTCCTTTATAAAATGGCAAAATCAAAAGCTCAAACACATCAAACGAATGGAAAGTTGTATATTAGCAAATATATATATATATATATATATATATATATATATATATATATATATATATACAAGTCTAAATTGAAAACAACATTCAAACCTATGATTGCGTTGTATAAAATATATATATATATATTTATATATATATAAACAAGTCTAAATTGAAAAAAATATATATATATTTTTAGTCGTTTTTTTTATTTGTTATACATATATATGTGTCTTTTGTGCATGTATAGGACAGTATCACAAATTAGAAGTCCCCAGAAAATTAATGCATGTTGGAAATGTTACCCAAATTAATAGGTAGATAAGTCAATAATTAGATTTTCATCATCAAAATACATCATTTTGATGTCACTATACATAATTCATTGGTTTTCCTTTTATTCTGTAGTATTTAAATATATGTTTCATATATTGTGGATTTATTTATTTATTTTTGTATCAGTGTTCATGGCTCGAAAAAATATTTGCTATTTCCAGGATACCTAGTTTCCTGGTTTTATCATTTGATGCTACCAAAGTACAAAAAATGTAGCTAAAGTTTATATTTAAGTTAAGTATATAATTTCATGATTTCCTACTATGCACAAAATCCCTAAAAATTGTATTCTAAAAATATAATTAATTCGCAGTATTTCATATGACAACTGCTTAAATGAAACTTCATGGACTTTTCATGACGATTCATCAATCACCTCCTTCTTAATACAAATTGGAGCTACATAAGTATGGTAAACAAGCAGAATTATGAGCTATTACTCATTAATGACTTCCCAGCCTTAAAGAATGGTCACACATATTTCCTGATTTCCTTTAATATCATAAATATTTCTTTTTCTGAGTTGACATCACAAACATTACCATACCTCCAGGAGATATAACAAATAGTTCAACTTACCTTTAACAATGCTTTGGCCAGTTTGGGGAAGGTTACGTAGTAGGCCACTAGTTTGAAAACATGTTTGACCATTACATTTACCATAGAAGTCTCTGTTATTTCTGACAGAAGCTGGAATAAAAGAATAACAATTTGCACTTTTAATTTGTAATCAGATATCAATTTTCTAAAGCCATTTCTCTATAGTTTTCAAAGACAGCTATTGATAAGGTGAATTTAATTGTTTTAAAAGAGTTATGAAAATAAATTACAGCAGTATATCACAACCATTCCTCAAATCATTTGCGTTACTTTGTAATGTTTAAAAACATTAATTAAAGAAAATCTTAAAGCTGATTTGAAAAAGTTATAAACTGCTATGAACCATATATTTGTGAATGAACACCTTTGACCCATATCTCTCCTTACTCCAGTATAAAATCTTACTTGTAATACAGCAGTTAGATAAGATTTCACTTCCAGACGAATTTTCTTCCACTTGGTATTACTTTTTGATGGAAGCGTTGGTTTCTGTAGATCTGTAAGGGGAGGTAATCCCAAATGTTTCAGAAGTGCCGGTGGTATTAAAGTTAAACACATTCTGATTACTGAGTTGTAAACTGAAAAGTAAATCAAAACATTTTATATGAAAACTACTTGTTCAATACCGAGCGACAGTTTTATTATCGCAAAAGCTTTTACATTTAAATATAGTAACTTAAAAACAGAATGGATTTTGAAAATGTCTGGTCCTGGTAAATTTACAAAATTCATTTTGACTGAAATTTGGCATTTACTTCAGTAATTTGTATATAATTCAGTCATGACTGACGAATATGGCCTTTATTAACCCTTGGTGGAGAGAATACCCTTTTAAGTTTATTCCAGAAATGTCAAACATACTGACATAGGTATAATTCATCATATCTATTAGTAATAGTACAGTCATTATTGAGTACATAATGGCAATCATTAAATGCTTGATTAAATAGTACCTGGCTTAGATAAACAAGTTTTCTTTCCTTTTAATAAAAACACTGTTCATTAATGAAAAGGATAAATTGTAAAACTGAGAGCCTTTGATTTCTGCTTCTTTGAAAATTTACAAAAACAGATGAGTTCAGCATAAGATATCATTCTGTTATAGAAATATATATAATATTCCTTGGTGAACAACACAGTACCTGCGCTCCCCTCCACTCTATACTTGGAAGATTCCAATTCACTTCCTGCTTGATGTACAGCTGCTCTGAAGGCACTAATCATTTCCTTCAATACATTTGGTGATGGAGTTTTCTAAGGAAAAAATGATAATATTAGGCTGTTTAGTTAAGAAATTATCAAATAAACTATGATACTTCATAGGCAATGTCACAAAGTAAAATAGAATTGTATAATAATCTATATTTCATTGGATTCTAAATTTTGCAACTGGTAGAAAAAGATAAATTAACGGGCTTTCAATTTTCTAGTTTAAGAATTGAAATGTAACAAATCAATTTTAAAATCGCATGAATTGATGTGGAAAATTTAAACTTACAATTCAAATATAATATCATCATTTATATACAGCATAAGTGTCCATTTTTAAACGATCCCAAAAATATATAAGTACACAATAATTTCTGAATCATCATTATGAGTAGCCCTTACCTGTACATTATCAGACCAATCCTTGATCATTTTACTGGTAACTAAAATGCCTTTATTTTTCTTTTCTTTCTTTCTTGGTTTATCTGTATCTTTTTCCTCCTGATCATTTTCTACTCCTCCTTCCTCCTCCTCCTCCTCCTCATCACTCATACTGACATCACTGGCCACCTGTAATATTTCCATACATGATTGGCACCTGAGTCAATTAACACTGATACAGATAACAAAATGTATTAAACTCTCATCTTATTTCACAAACCGTAGTTTTAAGTCATTGAAACAGAATTCTTATGATATCATGAAAGTTTAATGAAGTTAAAGGGGCATTTATGACTGATTGGTCTTAGTAAGTTTATTGCGTAAACCCCTGAGGGTTTACGCAGTATATATTGTACGATATCCGTAGTCTTTCAGAACACCGGATGTTATTCGGAATACATCTGTTTCTTTCTATGGCCACCTTTCATGTACATGCGCAATAGCTTATTATTTGACCTGTTGAATCATTAGCATCTTAAAGTTGCTATAGAGATATGTTACATATGATGCGAAATTTATTATGATGCAAGCTACTTTAATAAGCATTTGAATACTTCCTTGCAGGCAATTACAAGCTGCTAATATTTACCTTACATATACGCGTAGTTATTCTAATTAGAGTCAAACGTTGAAACCAGCTGTGTTTAGATACGAGATAAGATTTCACGTAAACAATGCGATTTATATTCGAAACGAGATTTGTTAAAACTAAAATCTATAAAAGAAGTATTTCTATCATTTCACTTAAGATTCCGAGTCTAGGGAAAATGTACATAATGTACGAAGCAGGCTATTTCATAATTTTCATACCTCAACGTCCTTGTGGGACTAACTAAAGGACAATACTGAAATTGAAATGAAGTCTTTCTTGCACTTTATTGAAATTTTACGTCTAGGATAGACCAAGGACGTATATAATCTAAATTGATATACGTCCTTGAATAGTTTTTATTTTCTTTAAAATTGCAATTTTCTTTGTTTAAATATTGCAACGTTATTTCCTTATCAAATGTCTATTAATTAATAGACACCGAGTGATGACAGATGCAGGCAGAGATAAGAAAAATTAATTTCTATTTATAGTTATCTTGGTCAGGGAACAGATTATCTAACTATATGTTCGGCCTGTAGTGATTAATGCTCTTCAAAATGTTCGTCAAAATAAAAATAAATAATTATTATTTCCTAAAGACGATCAGATGTTGAATTTTCGGTTTTAATATATTAAGTACGAAAATGTAAAATAGTGTAAGAAGATTTTGAGCCACCTCACTGATCAGTAGGCTACACAGTGCCCCCAAATGACCAGTATAAAACTATCGAGCAAGAGAGAAAAAGGATAGCCGGGTCAATGTAAGAAACCTACTAGGCAACTTCAGTTCAATTTCAATATCTCGATTATTCTAATGGATTTGTCAAATGTCAGGGAATATCTTTTTAAATGTGGTAGGAAGACAACTCTCCATCAAAACACAGTGTAGTCAAAATTAGAAATTATAGGTTATAATTCAGCCTTCAACACAAAAGCTTGGCTCACATTGGACAGCATCCTACCGAGGGCCCCAAAACACTGTTATAAAACAATTTAAACAGGAAAAAACAAACAGATCTAATTTAACTTCAAACCAGAAACAAAAAGCAAATATGAACTGCACCGAAAAAAGACAACCACTAAACAACATGCTTCGGACTTGGGACATGTGCTTATGAATACACCTGGTTTAAAAGAATTTACATAATACCATAAGACAGTAGTGTAATTTTACCATGTAAAAGACACCCTTTAATATTTAATGAAAAAATCGTTTTCAGATAAAAAAATCGTAAGGGTTCCGCGAAACCCAGTGTCTCGCCTACTTTTGCTGTTAATCGCAGGCTCAACAAAAATGAGGAAAAACATCAATAAAAATATTCCTCTCAATACTATTTTTTTTATTTTAAGAAGCTTCTGTCCAAGTTTGGTAAAAATCCAGGATAGTTTATAAATCTAAAAAATTTAACTTCAGACTGTATGTAATGTTGACTGGATGAAAAACTAAGTCCATTTATAAGTAAAATACAGATAAACAGGTACAAAATTTTAACAAAAAATGTCCTTCTAGATACTAGCTTTTAATCATAAACAAGCTTCTGTCCAAGTTTGGTACAAATCCAGGATAGTATAAGAAAGTTATTAAAATTTAAAAAAAACTTTAACCTCGGAGTGAATGTATTGTATCCCAGCAGAAAACTAAGTCCATTTATAAGTAAAATACGGAAAAAATGGAATTTCATTTTTACAAAATTTACTTCTGGATACTATCTGATGATCATAAACAAGCTTCTGTCCAAGTTTGGTACAAATCCAGGATAGTTTAAGAAAGTTATTAAAATTTTAACAAGAGTGCACACACTGAAATGTCTCGCCTTCTTTACTTATCATTGATATTATGTTGATAGTCCTAAATATAAAGCTTTATTACAACTGTCACATAAACTTATTATTAACCAAGTTAACTAAACATTGACCAATGAACCATGAAAATGAGGTCAAGGTCAGATGAACCATGCTAGGCAGGCATGTACAGCTAACAATTCTTCCATACAACAAATATAGTTGACCTATTGCTTTTAGTTTAAGAAAAACAGACCAAAACACAAAAACTTAAGACTGAGCAATGAACCTTGAAAATGAGGTCAAGGTAAAAAAAAAACTGTGTGACTGACAAATAGATCATAAAATATTTCCATACACCAAATATAGTTGAACTATTGCATATAGTATTAGAAAAAAAGACCAAAACTCAAAAAATTAACTTTGACCACTGAACCATGAAAATGAGGTCAAGGTCAGATGACACCTGCCCGCTAGACATGTACACCTTACAATCATTCCATACACCAACTATAGTAGGCCTATTGCATACAGTATAAGAAAAACAGACCAAAACACAAAAACTTAACTATAACCACTGAACCATGAAAATGAGGTCAAGGTCAGATGACACCTGCCAGTTGGACATGTACACCTTACAGTCCTTCCATACACCGAATATACTAGACCTATTGCTTATAGTATCTGAGATATGGACTTGACCACCAAAACTTAACCTTGTTCACTGATCCATGAAATGAGGTCGACGTCAAGTGAAAACTGTCTGACGGGCATGAGGACCTTGCAAGGTACGCACATACCAAATATAGTTGAACTATTGCATATAGTATTAGAAAAAAAGACCAAAACTCAAAAACTTAACTTTGACCACTGAACCATGAAAATGAGGTCAAGGTTAGATGACACCTGCCCGCTAGACATGTACACCTTACAATCATTCCATACACCAAATATAGTAGACCTATGGCAAACAGTATAGGAAAAACAGACCAAAACACAAAAACTTAACTATAACCACTGAACCATGAAAATGAGGTCAAGGTCAGATGACACCTGCCAGTTGGACATGTACACCTTACAGTCCTTCCATACACCGAATATACTAGACCTATTGCTTATAGTATCTGAGATATGGACTTGACCACCAAAACTTAACCTTGTTCACTGATCCATGAAATGAGGTCGAGGTCAAGTGAAAACTGTCTGACGGGCATGAGGACCTTGCAAGGTACGCACATACCAAATAGAGTTATCCTATTACTAATAATAAGAGAGAATCTAACATTACAAAAAATCTGAACTTTTTTTTCAAGTAGTCACTGAACCATGAAAATGAGGTCAAGGACATTGGACATGTGACTGACAGAAACTTCGTAACATGAGGCATCCATATACAAAGTATGAAGCATCCAGACCTTCCACCTTCTAAAATATAAAGCTTTTAAGAAGTTAGCTAACGCCGCCGCCGCCGCCGCCGCCGCCGGATCACTATCCCTATGTCGAGCTTTCTGCGACAAAAGTCGCAGGCTCGACAAAAACATTAACCACAGAGTGAATGTAATGTTTCCCAGCAGAAAAAACTAAGTCCATTTATAAGTAAAATACGGAAAAATGGAATTTTATTTTTACAAAACTTACTTCTGGATACTATGTTATGACCATAAACAAGCTTCTGTCCAAGTTTGGTACAAATCCAGAATAGTTTAAGAAAGTTATTAAAATTTCAAAAACTTTAACCACAGAGTGAATATTTGTGGATGCCACCGCCAAAGACACCGATGGAATGCAGAATCGCTTTGTCTCGCTTTTTCGACTAAAGTCGAAGGCTCGACAAAAAGGAACACCTTACAACAGTTCATAAATGTGACCTTTAAACAAACTCATATTTAGGTGATGGGTATACTGATCAGTGGTAATTTCAGGTTTGATCATGTTAGTTTTTTTTGTTGTTTTCAATTTTGTTTGTTTGTTTATAAGTACAAGGTGTAAGCTGTTATGTCTAGGCTATAAATATCTTTTTTAATGAATTGGTTTCGGTCATCAAGGTGAAGAGGATACAGTGCGATTCAAATTGTATATATTTACAATTAAACTTGCAGGCCTTTTTTCATGACCCACAATTTAAAATATAAGAAAACATCAAAATAAAAAGGGACATCTGGAAAATATCTTCAAAGCGAGTTAAAGGTTTTAAAAGTGTTTGTTTTTAACAAAAGAGGTTTGTCATCTATAACTTTTAAGAGCATACAAAAAGCACAGAACTTAAAATTGCCAATGCTTGCTACCCTAAGCATAAAAAAACCTTGCAGAGCAGGTGTAAGGATCTTAATAATGATCAATATCAAGCCATTGTTCAAATAACCATGAACATATCTCAAATTCCAATAAAAACGGCTATTTTACAGGTTCACGTATTGCATTTCTTAAACACATATAATCATTAATTGATTAAATTTCTTCACATTTGCATTTGAACTTTAGCCTAAAAACTAACTCTAATTTAAAAACAAAAGCCAGCATCTTAAAATGGAACATCAAGTGGGTGACTTAACATGATGTCTTTTGGGAGAGAGGAGAGAAAAAAATATTCCTTTAACAAGAATATTTCACCCCACATTGAACAGTATTTACTTTAAGTAAACAGTCACTGTCAGTTTCTAATTCTTATATAACAAAAATGATATAAAACAATAAATCTGTTTTTTAAACAATTATCTTATATCTAATGCCAAACAAGCATTTGGGTTTACGATTGCATTTCTTTTTTTAAAGAAAGCAACTTGTTTATCTACTTTAACACTAGCCTGTCAAAACTGAATTTGTGAGTTTGAACCCCAATGTGGCAAGTGCCCTTGACTTCAATCTTAATTGACCCAAGGTTGTGGTTCTATCTGGGGACCTCGGCTTCCTCCACCCATAAAATCTGGCCACCACAATAGCCAATAGTGCTGAAAGTGACGTTAAATCCCCAAAAAAATCTATTTATCAATCACTGAAACACATGGTTGATCAAATTCAAGTGCATTTTTCGGTTGATGTCTTAACTGAATTCCAGTGAAAATGAATAGGAAAGACTGGCTTTCCTATCAAGGACCTACTTAAGCCTTATCTTCTGTCCTTAAAGACATTTATGTTGACAACAGATCTCTTGTAGTCACTGTTGAATATATACACCACTATCTAAGCCTGTGACAATTTCAATAGCAACAATTACATACTGTATAAGGCATTGTTCTTATTATTACACTCTATATTGTACTCTTGTCAGATGTGGGTTTTTTTGGGGTAGATTGCTGTCTCATTAACATTCAGTTTCTCTTTTATTCTTTCATTACATATCAACAGATAGAAGAAATAGAAATGACTACCATGCTATTAACTTTGACCTCAAAAAATTGAAATGATAAAAAATAATTCATCGTTCTAAAATGAAAATTAGCACTAAGGAGGTGAGTTTTAGTTTTGTTGTTTTGTTAACAACTTCTAGTTTCTTGGGAGGTTTTGTAAATTTACATCTCCTAATAAAGATTATAACAACCTCTAGTTCCTCAGGAGGTTTATGTAAATCTCCCTCTTCATCACTACTTGTTGGTATATCATCATAATCTTCATCACTGGCATCATCCTGAACTTCATTATCATCATCTTGATCTTCATCACCAGAACTCACATCTTCATCTATAATATAAAAAGAGTGGCAAAAAGTTTTCAATCAAGAGTAATTTATGGTTTATACTAACTTCATATACTAATTGTTAATCAAATCTTCTATCAAGAATTACATGTACTGTTGGCTGAAAGTTATTTAATAAATTTAACAAAGTTAATGTACAACATAGAAATAAACTATGGGGTTTTAAAACCTACCATATATAAGTCTCTTCTTCCATAACCTTAATATCTATTTTCTCTTTAGAGTAAATTGAAAGATTTAAATAAAAAAAGAGCACAGAATATCTCTGACTTCATATTATATTTGTACATAAATATCCTAACATGGCTAAAGACTGATATGGATACGATATAACTGACGTAAATGGTGTCTCTGAAATAAGAACATCAGCACCCTGAATCATGAAGTTTGGCTCCCACATAAAAATGTGAGTTATATATTTTTGTACTTTTATTCATTTAGACAACCATACAAGTCTGCTAGATTAGTGGAAATGACAATTAATGAAAAGTTAAATAAAAGGAGTTAACAATTTACTTATATACACTGACTTACCATGAATAAATTGTTATATAAATTTTTTAACTTTTTTCGATTTAATACCATACATTGTAGTTTTCATTATTTTCTACATGATAAATATATAAATTTTATTACTTACTACAATAATATTGACACTTAAAGATATCAGGGAACATTCTCATGCATATGTTATTTTGATGAAATGAATTTAGACACAGATTTTTATCATGACAAAATAAAACTTGACAATCTCATTCATATGTGTACTTATTATCTCCCTTTAAACATTTGTACATGATGCAACTGGATTGATTTTGAACTTTGAAAAAAACTAAATTAGAATTTTTAAATGCTTCAGAACTTTATCTCTTAATCAAAATAATGGTTTTCAGATATAAAGAGATCATGTTTTATCGCTATTTGGTGTATTTTTCCTTGGATCTTTTTTTGTTTTAATTTTTCATGTCATGCTACTCGATAGACATGCTAGAGATAGAAAATTATTGCAGATACTAAGGACGCATGATCAGTTGTCAATGTAGATATCAACAACGTAATAGGTCAAATATTGATAAACAGATGGTCTTCCAAACTCGAGGATGTTTCTCGGCCACATCTCATCTCAGAGATATCGGGCTTTTGATGAGATTGTAGCTTAGAAACATCCTCTTGCTTTGAAAAACCATGAATAATCTATACATCTCATAACAAAACACATGAACTTACAGCTATATATTCTAGTATAGAAATGATGAGGTTAATATTATACTTACCATCTGATTCATCAAAAGCCAGCAGATCTTTGCCTTCTTCTTTCAGGAACTCATAGAATTCTGGATCTTTTTCCTTCAATGCTTCAAGAGACTGCATGTGTGTCTTTGATGTTTTCTTTGTTTTGCTGAAAGAGGTCATTAAAAATATACATACATGACATACATGACATACATGACATAATCAATCTCGTTACTAAACATTGTATTATAGGCAAAGTATAAGAATTCATAGGATTATAGTAAAAACTTTGTTGGCAATTTAAACTTGTCAAACTGCATCGTAATACATGAATTGAAAATAAATATGTGTAGCATTTATACTTTCAGAGATACAATCAATTAAAAAATCATGAAATAGATCTTTGCTTTTTGTGTGTTTTTTGCTATGCATGTACTGATTTTGTGTCATGGATGGATACCCCATATCATTTCTTTTTCTATAAATGTATAGAATGTACATAAAAAGCAATGAAAAATGCAGTTTGTTTTTTTTTAATTTGTGATTTCTTGAAGTTCTTGTGCTGGGTTTTCACTAGGGATTTTTGAAGGTAAGTCAATGGACTTTTTATTGCAATATAATTTATCATTTAAATCTCCATGATAAAATAGTGCAAGGAAATGACATCAAAATTAGATTATTTTTTAATTTTTACTCTAAAATGATATATGTGCAGAGTTCATAAAATATTTTACAATCTTGATGCATCTTTGGACTCACCAGTCTGGGAAATGATGAGTCCAGACAGATTTTCATGAGTCATGAACTGGTCTTAGTGAGAACCCTGCTGTGGCAAGTTATTTTGAAGTATTTTCTTACTTTGTTTATTTATATTACATATCTAGAAATGATACAAATTTGACATATTCACAATGAACTATATTCCATCTTTATTTTTACTAAAGAAAGTAACTTAAACAAATAGCTCTGGAAAATGAGTTAAATTCAGAAATTATTGCAATGTTTTTATTAATGCAAGGGTATCAGGTTTGCAATGATAAAAACTGACATTCATCATTTCAGTAGTATTTTTCTTCAAAAAACTTTTGCAATTGCATTGAAGTCTCATCTTTACTAGTAATCAGTGATTTGCAACAATAAGTGCATGCATTTATTTCTGAATTTACAGTATATAACAACTCCAATACATGTACATTTATTTTGCCGACCCAAAAAGACAGTTGTTAACCTTGTATTTTTCAGATCAGTAATTTTAGTTTGTTTCTGTTTTACAGAGGCTTCATGTAATTTCTTCTGTTGTTTTGAAGTACTATCTTTCATTTGTTTCTCTTTCTTTTTAAGTCCTTCATTTTTTCTTTTCTTCTGTTTCTGTTTTTGATGAACAGCTGTATCTTCATTATCACTGTCACTGTCAAAGTCTCCTAACATAAACTCATCAACACTTAACTCCTCCATTTTCCTGAATCAAACAAAAAAAATACAAGATCAATAAATTTATAACTTTTTAACAGTGCATATATTCTCAACTTGAATTTTTTTAAGGCAAGTCAAATGACTCATCACTTTTGGCCATGGCAAGCCCAACAGTGTGAAAATAAACATTTTATTATTTCAGTTTACATAACAATTTCATGATTATAGACCAAGGATGTGCTCAGTTGATACAACATTTGACAATCTTGATGCAATCTTTGTAGGGATTCTAACTGACGATATCAGGATATGGGTATTTAGTCAAATCTTAACAGGAAGTAGGGATAATATTAAAAAAACGATTAAAAAAATAAATAATGAATGTCAAAATGTTCAGGCTTTAATTGAAATTTTTTTTCGGTAATTTGATGCAAGCAATATGATCTGTGTTTTGTCTTATACTGTTAGAGGCAAATATTGTTAAACGACTATATCATATTGATGTGTAAACACGTTAATATATGAGCTTTGAAAGTCAAGTCGTTCATGCATTTTTCTGAGTAGGTTTAACAAAAATTTCAAACAAATATACTATAATGTGGGTAAGCATTCGTTTGCAGTCACTATCCTATAGATTAACAACTGTTGGTTAAAATGATAACTTAGAATCTTCCTGTAGAAGCTGGAGCATGAATGTTGTGTCAATTTATTCTTTTGATATGTCATTTTAATGCAAGAGTGAATGCAAGAGTGACATCCCTTTGTACTATGTTTCAATTCCAACAAGTCTATCGAATCAATGTGTTTATTAATTGTCTCCATTGAACAGGTTAATATGGTGTATATAATTATGTCAGATTTCAAATGAAGTAGACATATTGTCTTGATTTATTTGCATTACTTAATTCTTTAAATACAAATACATGTATGCTGTGTAACACACAACCCCCAACACAAACACACACAAGATACACATACACACAAACACATAAACAGAACACCATAACCACCACTTTATTCCAGAAACTTCAAATTTATGTCAAATGCTTTAGATAAGATAAGATAGGATATTTTATTGGTTTAAAATCCAAAATTATAGGATTGTTACCAAGACATATACATAAACATACAAACATATATCTGACCACATTTATAAACATAATTACATTGTATATATATATTTGTATATCTACTCCATTGTTAAAAGAAAATATTGTTACAATAATAAATGTGTATAATCTCTGTTGAGGAGGTGGTACCACAAAGTTATTTAGTATTCAATAAAGCATTTCTAGAATTGTACATGTCACTTATGAATTTTACAATAACTCTAATTATATCAGTCTCACCACACATATACAAAAATTTAAATCTTGCTTCGTTAGTCATATTTAAGAGGGAACTATTTCACTAATTTTGGAAAATAATTGTTCTCTAATTGTATTTAATTTTGTATATTTTATAGTGAAATGAAATTCATCTTCTACTTCTAAAAGACACAAGGGACAAATTCTTTCTTCTACAGGAGTTTTAGTGTGTCGACATTGTTCAATTTTAAGAACACTATTACTTATGCGAATTTTGGCAAAATGTCCTATTACTTTTCTATCAACAGTAAATAGGTTTCCAATTTGTAATTTTCTTTAAGCTGTCTATATGTTCTGAGCTAATTACCATGCAATGATTTATCATCACAAAAAATATTTTCTTTCCAATAATTCAGATATCTATCATTAAGTTTGGTATGAAGTGCATATAATAAACACCTTTTTGAAATAGTATCATGATTTTCCCAAACATGTGAAAAATTTAATGTAGCAAGTAATTGTTCAATCTTTTTTGCAAACCCATTGGATAATTGCAGGTTTGAACTATATACGTCTTTAAGTAAACAATTATTACCAGATTTTATCACATGCAACCAGAAGCCAATTGACAGTTTTAATGCTTCTATAAAAACTGGATACATACCAAGTTCAGCTAGTACTGCTTTAGTGAGAAATTATAAATGAAACCTACATTAAGCATTTGAACTTTTTTGAAAAAGACTATGTGAAAACTGAATTAAGTTATCTCCCCATAATGATAAAATGTTGGGAAAATTGGGAGTTATCTTACATCAATCACAAAGACGGGCTAGCAAACAATTTTTTATTGGAGCTTAATTAACGTCAAAACAATTTTCCACTAAAAATGCATGTTACTTTATTCAATTATAAGGGCTTAGTTATCCAAATCTACTGATGTTATTGGATATTATACATTTTTAAGACAATAGATCAACATGCTAATCTAGAGACACATCAGTTTTGAAAATGATGAGTCCAGGACTCATTGACTCACCTTATTGAGAACCTTGCTGTGTGGATATACAAGGAAAAGATAATTGACATATACCCCACTTCTCCATTTATTCATCTAATAATTGTATTAGCTGACATTAAAAAAACATTGACAATCTGGAAGCATTAAAAAACAATACGGCCATGCAAAAAAGATTGTTGGGGTCCCCGAACTCTGACTGCTTTTACCTTCCGGGTCAACCTATTTCAACAGATGAAAAAAAAGAGCATGACTCATTTAAAAGACAATAATCAGTTATGTTTTAATTGTCTGATAATTTCTTTTAAAATATTTCATTTATCGTTTAAAATAGCATATATCTTAATACAGATCAAGATCTAATGTCAAAAAAGTTCTTGTTCAAGACTTTCCTATCAGTGGTTTTAGAAAAAAATCTCTGTCGAGTTAAACTGTGTGCCTTGTTTGATTTTACTCCAAATAAATACGCCTGTGACACTTTCCAATTTTCTTGTGTTAGGGGAAACCAACATTCAATTTGCAATGCACTGTAGCATAATATGTATTGTTATTTTCATATTTTTTAAGAATGCTATAACAAAATTTTACTCCAGTATTGTCTAAAATACATTTTATGTACTTGTCCCAGGGTATCGGGTCTGTTCGCCCTGGATCCGTTTGCCCTGAGTTCGTTCGCACTGGGTTCGTTCTCCCTACTTTTATTAAAAAATATTGATATTAAGGGTATTAAAGTTTAATAAACTTATTCAGATATTTATATGGTATAAATTCTTGAAATTCATGAACACACATGGAATTATTTAAAATTGATGGCATGTTTTGGAGCTTTAATTTTTCATAATAATAATTCTCACTGATTGTTGTAATAATTGTCTTTGATGGATTAATAATAAAAACAACATTTTGTTTTGATAAACTAGTCAGCTTGGAATGAGTAAAAACAATGATGTATGAATTGTAAAACATGAAAAGGATTTATAAGTTCATTTATTATTATACTGCATAAATTGACTAGAATTATCAAAATTGTTTACAAATATCAATAAAGATAAATACATTCCGATATTCTACTATGCAAATCAAAGGAACATAATTATTTGGTTGCCCCAATACAAATATTTGGCCAATTTTTCAACAAACTTTAACATAATCTGTTCAAATAATAAACATTCTGCAACTAGACAACAACAATAAAAAAAAAAAAAAAATCAGGGCGAATGGACCCTGGGCGAACAGGTATAAGGGCGAACAGGTACTAGGGCGAATGTGAATCAGGGCGAACACACCCGGATTCTTGTCCCAGCATAGTGATTGTAAAATTCAGGAGATCCATTTCAATTCAGAGTTTGTTTAAAGTCAATATTTAGTTAACAGACTACTTAAACACATGCTCAAGTGAGCTTTACAAATCAAGTTTTAATCAACTACACAATAAATCCTGTACATGTTCCAGTAAATATATTCATCAGGATTTCAAAATACTTGATGTTATCGTAATCCCACCTAATTCATATACATGTTCATGTATTTTCTTTGAGGCTTTTGACCTATTGAACATGATGAGACACAGGTAACCTGATAATGGGCTATTACAGAAATATTATGTACCCCACCCCATTCATGGACGATGCAAAATTGCCAGAGGATTTTTTATCTCAAAACCTTAGTCCTATTGCCAGTATTGGAGATACTAGATTTTCAAGAGTTTAAGAGTTACCAAAACATATTGGTTAAATAAATAAGAAATTTGGCAGATATTTTTGAAAGATCAGAAAATTTCACCTACTAATAAATTGGACTGTATATCTTCCATAAGAAAAGGGGGAATGGGGGTTCTGGGTAACTTGTGTTACAGACTACTTCTGAAATAGCAGAATAATGTATACATGTAGTATGTACATGTATTTCATGTGTTTTATAAGAAAAGACATTGATTTAATATGTTTTCTTAAATATTGTTATTTTGTATGAAAATGCATTGCTCAAATAAGGTTTAAATTCATGAAGTGTGTGAAAAAAAATCCATTATTTAACATATAACAACCTTTTCTTGCTGGACATGCTTTTCTTCATGGAGGCAGCCATAACGGAAGTTGTAGTATTTGTTTTGATTTTACACTTCCGGTGAAAGATGGATAACCCTTTCAACTTTCACCTAATGACCCTGTTGGTAAATAGTAAACAAGTATTAATTCATTCAGTTAGTTTTACGTATTTGAATAACATGGACAACAAGGGTTCAGATGCAGGTAAGGAAAATATTTGTTTTTCTTATTTTAAAAAAAGATGATGATGATGATGATGATGATGATGATGATGATGATGATGATGATGATGATGATGATGATGATGATGATGATGATGATGATGATGATGATGATGATGATAACAACGACGACGACGATGATTTGATATTAATGATGATAATAGTAAATTTTAAAATAATTAAAAGATGGTTAATTAACATGTACATTAAAACAGGTTAAAACAAACAGTCTTTAATTAGTAGTCACAGATTAAGATCTAGAGTATGTATTCATAAACATGTTTTTCAATATTTTATGTTATACGCAATGTTTTATATGTATATTGGAATGTATAATGTTATACAAGTGGTGAGACTTTAATAAAATATTGAATCTTGTATTACAGTGTGAGACATCATTATTACTTGAATTACATGAAGAATGATAAATTATCAGGTCTAAGTCCATTTAATAACATTTCATTTTATTTTTTTATGGGGAGAGGATATTTTATCCCAGTTTTTTTTTTTTTTTTTTTTTTAATTAATCATGTTATTTAAAAGTACCAACAGTACTCAAAACACAATAAAAAAAAACTAAAGACTGAGCAACACGAACCCCACTAATAACCGGGGGTGATCTCACTGTCTGGGTGCTCTGGAAGGGTAATCAGATCCTGATCCACACGCGACACCTGTCGTGGTACTCCTATAAAAAACGTTGTCAGTCACGGTCACAGCTTCATGTGTGTACTTTTTTTTTTAGAAAATGTGATCAAATAATTAACGCATAAAAAGGTTTAGAACTGAAATTTTGACAAATTCTGAGTATCTACATCAAAAATAAAGAATGAGATGGACATTTTAACCAAAACACAGAAAAAACGTATATTTCATCCGAAGCATCAAGTTTTATATTACCTTTTAAAAAATATATATATGTCAATTAAAATTCATTTTACCGGGTTAATTAGTGATGCCTTCCAATTCATTCTTTACAAACACTTTTTGCAAGAGAAAATAGAAAATGCTTACTTTGTAATTCTGGCGACATCGGAGATGAATTTCATTATATTTTTATGTGTTCTGTATTCAATGATGGTCGTAAACAGTTTTTGAGAAAAAGATATAGAAATCAACCAAATTCATTGAATTTTAATGAACTGATGAATAGTAAAAATCTTTCTGATCTTAACAACTTGTGCAAATTTATAAGACTAATAAATATGCATTTAGGCTCTCCTGGGTAATTCATGTACTTGATATCATTTAGTTTAATATGTATACCGTAATATATGATATGTGCCTCCATCTTGCTTCCGTATAATTTTTGTATGTCTGTACATATACATTACGTAATATTTATTGTGTGTATCTCTATACCAATGTAATTTGGTTTGTTGAGAAATAAAGATAAATATGCAATATGGATTCAACAGCACTGATATGTGGCCCTGAATAAACTTTTTTAAAAATGATATTTAAAATTGAAGAAAAATATTTAAAGAATATTGTTAAGATTTGATAATTAATATTTCATTCCAGTAAGGTTTAGAAACTTTCCGACAGTGAGTGAACCAATACAGGAAACTATGGCCTAGTGGCGGATCCAGAGGGGGGGGGGGGGGGGGCCGGAACCCCCCTTTTTTTGACGATCAATGCATTTGAATGGGGACATATGGTTGGACCCCCCTCCCCTTATCCTGGGTTGAGAACCCCCTTTTAAAAATGGCTGGATCCGCCCATGTGGCCCTAGATAATTTATTATCGAGGAAAGTCGGTTTCAAAATAAAAAAAGTCTATTAAAAAGTGTAAATGCATACTGGGATCTAATGCATAACTTATATTAGGTCTCAGGTTTATAATAAGGCCCCCAACAAGAGAAGGAAGTAAACACGTAGTAATAAGTTTAAGATGAACAACTGCGTATGAAATCGACCTTGTGTAAAATCGACATTGTCTGTCTGAAAGCGAAATCAATATACATCAATATGCTTTCTAAATATCAAATATCTATTCATGGTGTGGCGTTTTAACGTGAGAACTATTATAAATATTTTCCATAAGTTAACAATAAATAAATGAGATATGCTTGAGTACTTTAGTCCGCCTTAACATATAGACATTCCAGTAAAAATTGTCGGTTTAGATGACTGAGAGTTACAGTCCTACTAATTTGAACGATTGTTTAACTGGTTTATCTTCAGTATGTTTTAATATTAGACGTGTTAGGAAAGTCAATACGATTTTGACGCTGATGTTAAGAATACCAATACCACTACAGGCTATAGTTGGGACCATCTCAAAAAGCACAGATAATCATTCATTATAGTTACCTGTATGGGTTTGTTATACGACCGCAAAAAAATTTTGTGGTCGTATATTGGTATGACGTTGGCGTCGTCGTCGTCGTCGTCGTCGTCGTCGTCCGGCGTCGTCGTCGTCGTCGTCCGGCGTCGTCGTCCGAATACATATTGGTTTTCGCACTCTAACTTTAGTTTAAGTGAATGGATCTTTTTGAAATTTGACCATAAGGTTAAATACCACAAAAGGAAGGTTGGGATTGATTTTGGGGGTTATGGTACCAACAGTTAAGGAATTAGGGGCCAAAAAGGGGCCAAAAATGAGCATTTTCTAGTTTCCAGACAATAACTGTGGAACGGTGTATGGATCTCTCTGAAATTATACTACAAGTTTCCATACCACAAAGGGATGGTTAGGATTTGCTTTGGGGGGTTATGGCTCAAACCGTTTAGGAATTAGGGGCAAAAAAGGGGGAAAAACAAGGTTGTCCTGGTTAATGGACAAATACTTTAGTACAAAACATAATTTAAAGCAGTGTAAGGGAGATAAATCAAATACATCATTGAAATTATCTCCCTTACACTGCTTTTAAATTATGTATAAAGTAATGGTTAATGAACAATAAAGATAATCTAAAACAGTGTAAGGGAGGTAATCCAAATACAACATTTTGGTTACTTCCCTTACACTGCTTTTAAATTATGTTTAAAGAAATGCATATTTATAAAGGAAGACCAGTAAAAATATCTGCAAATGTTTTCATCTTTTTTTTTTACAAAAAAATCCATATGAAAGATTTGACACTATATTTTTATTAATTCTATTATAAAATAGATTAAGTTAGCACTATGGTAAATTTAAATGGGTAATTATGGTTGCCAACTCCATTGGAAATTTGAATTGAGATTATGACCATATCTTGAGGGAAAGAATTTTTTTGGGGGAAAAAGGGGGGGGGGATAAAAAGAAATTGTGGGGGGCCAATTTTTTCTCATTTCAGATTTCAGAAATTAAAAAGAATTATTCTTCAAATATTATTTTTTTTTCAAATTTCAAATATTGAAAAATTTCAAGAAGTAATCTTTAATTGCACAGTATGGCGCATTAGATTTGTAAAATCTTTGATCACATTTATTTATTTGTTATGCCGAATCTAACAGTGTATTTAGATTTTTAATTTTGGGTCCAGTTTTCAAATTGGTCTACATTAATGTCCAAAGGGTCCAAAATTAAACTTTGTTTGATTTTAGCAAAAATTGAATATATGAGGTTCTTTGATATGCTGAATCTAAACATGTATTTAGATTTTTGATTTTTGGCCCAGTTTTCAAGTTGGTCCAAAATTAAACTTTGTTTGATTTCAACAAAAATTGAATATATGGGGTTCTTTGATATGCTGAATCTAACCATGTATTTAGATTTTTTATTTGTGGACCCCTTTATCTAATTGGTTCATATTGAGGTCAAAAGGGTCCAAAATTAAACTTTGTTTGATTTCATCTAAAATTGAATTATTGGGGTTCTTTGATATTTCAAATCTAACCGTGTATTTAGGTTTTTAATTTTGGGTCCTGTTTTTTAAATTGGTCTACATTGAGGTCCAAAGGGTCCAAATTAAACTTAGTTTGATTTTAACAAAAATTGAATTCTTGGGGTTCTTTGATTTGCTGAATCTAAACATGTGTTTAGATTTTTGATTATGGGCCCAGTTTTCAAGTTGGTCCAAGATAGGGTCCAGTATTTAAACTTTGTTTGATTTCAACAAAAATTGAATATATGGGGTTCTTTGATATGCTGAATCTAACCATGTATTTAGATTTTTGATTATGGGCCCAGTTTTCAAGTTGGTCCAAATTGGGGTCCAAAATTAAACTTTGTTTGATTTCAACAAAAATTGAATATATGAGGTTCTTTGATATGCTGAATCTAACCATGTATTTAGATTTTTTATTTGTAGGCCCCGCTATCAAATTGGTTCATATTGAGGTCAAAAGGGTCCAAAATTAAACTTTGTTTGATTTCATCGAAAATTGAATTATTGGGGTTCTTTGATATGCCAAATCTAACCGTGTTTTTAGATTTTTAATTTGGGTCCCGTTTTTTAAATTGGTCTTCATTGAGGTCCAAAGGGTCCAAAATTAAACTTAGTTTGATTTTAACAAAAATTGAATTCTTGGGGTTCTTTGATATGCTGAATCTAAACATGTGTTTAGATTTTTGATTATGGGCCCAGTTTTCAAGTTGGTCCAAGTTGGGGTCCAAAATTATACTTTTTTTGATTTCAACAAAAATTGAATATATGGGGTTCTTTGATATGCTGAATCTAACCATGAATTTAGATTTTTTATTTGTGGGCCCCGCTATCAAATTGGTTCACATTGAGGTCAAAAGGGTCCAAAATTAAACTTTGTTTGATTTCATCAAAAATTGAATTATTGGGGTTCTTTGATATTCCAAATCTAACCGTGTATTTAGATTTTTAATTTTAAGTCCCGTTTTTTAAATTGGTCTACATTAAGGTCCAAAGGGTCCAAAATTAAACTTAGTTTGATTTTAGCAAAAATTGAATTCTTGGGGTTCTTTGA